TGCGTGACTCTGTAAAGCTTTCCATCCTCTCGATCCGTATAGAATGACATCGTCACACACTGTACACAGAGCTTTACCGGCGACATCGAGCTGTTTCACGAAATCCGACACAAGCACAATGGTTCCTCTTTACTGTTTCCTACTGGGGACACCGTCAGCTTTCTATCCAACCAGTCCCATCGAAACGTGTTTTTCAGATCCGATCGATTTGACGCACTTTAGCTTCGTCGCGAGTCTCGATAACATTCGGCATTCGCGAGAAAGGGCTTGAGGAAGGCGAACACGGATTGGTTGTGATTTGCATTTGCCGATATAGCGACCAATCACAACAAGTAAGACATCATACACGTCCAATCGCAGGGCTGTTTACAAACGGAAAACGGAGAGACTGATCGGGAGAGCTCGTGAAAACTCGACGATAAGGTACCTGACCCCCCCCTAAAATTTTCTCAACGGATTTAGACGATTCACAAAAATGATCAATTTAAGAAATAAAACGGCGGATTTCCGCGTATCCGCGAAAAATTGCCATCACTGCACTGTGGATTCTTGACAGCATTGAGCAACATGCTTGGCATGCTGATTATAAATTGTGTTTTTAGCCATTTTAATTAGTTTTTTGCAAAGTGATTTTCCAAAAATGACACAATATTCTGTTTTAATCTACCACAAAACCAAACCTTTTTTGTCATTACAACTTTAGGCTCGGATAAAACAAGAAAATCCGGCGACTGGACTGAATTTGATTTAAAAATGTAATTGGTCAGGTTACATGACCCGGAAATTTGGTAACACACATCAGTAAATATACGTAAGCATGTTAGGATCCTGAAAAATTAAGGTAGCTCCAAATGTGCCTTACCCTCACGCTCTACCACCAAATTTCCATCGGCATAAAATGTATTTTAATACACTTTAATTTGCATATAAGCATGTCAGCTGGTCCAACTAAGGAATTTTACACGAGAGAGCAGGCTTTTCTGAAGTGGGTTTTCTATCGGAAGATCTGCTGTTTTGCACAAATTAACAACACAAGGAATTCAAGCCACAGAAAGTGACCTTCAGGTGGTGAAAGTGCTCTGTTCACCAATCGTCCGCTGCAGTTGCAGCTGGCAATTCTGTCATCGCTTCCACTGAAGACCCATTTTGATGCTGCAGCCAGTCGAAGCTGAGCAAATAGCCTCCAGCAGATGAACGTTAGCGGTCAATGACATCATTTTTTGTTGTTGTTGATGAACAAGGAACAACAAGAGCCCGAAATTAGAGACTGATCACCAAGACTGTGCCTGGAACCAGGCCATTTCATGACATCTAATGTGTGCAGGACAACAAAATCCTGTCCCACCACCTCACATGCAGTTGCCCAGCATGCCAGACTCTCACTGCCAACTGCCTGTTCCAGCACATTGCAGGCCCTTTGACATCACATGAAATTCAAAATCAGAGACATGTTCGACGTCATCAACCTGCCAAACAACATGTAGCAGATGTTCCTGTGCCAGCTGACAGTGACGCTGTTGACAGTAACCATGGTGATGATCCTGATACTGTGAGTCAAGAGCCATCCAAGTCCTGCTGCCCCTGAAGACATCGACCCTGGTGCAAGTCAATGCCCCAGCCAAGTCTGCTGCCGTCAAGTATATAGCCATCCACCCAACCATCATCTGAACTGCTTATCCTCAATTACTGATGATACTGTATACAAGGGCATACCTCCGTCGGTAGCAATGAGTTCAGCACTCTTTAACATATAATGTCAGTAAAGTACTAAAGCAGACAACTTTTAGCCAAAGAAAACAACATCCTGACATCTGCGGTTTTAATTTTTTTGAGATTCTGATGGTGAAGAAGTGCAGGTGAAGTTTCTGCGAGACAGGGGACGCTCTAATGGCTTCCCAGCCATAGATGACGCCCGCTGGATTTGTGTCAATGATGTGGAACTTCTACAGCCACCAACCAACAACAACGACAACCAGTTCCACCAGAGTTCAGTTCTACCTAGCCAGCAAGTCATTGTCAGTATCCGCGTAACAACCGTTACACAATTTTCTTTTCGATGTGAGAATAAAACTAAAAGCAAACACTTGAAAAGTTTGTCTTTTCTTGAAAGGTGACACTGTTCACATTAATTAAGCCAGAATCAAATGTTTGCATCATCTAATAACTTGGCTGCAAAAAGTAGACTATGCCTTGCGTGTCACACATGCTTGCCAAGATGTATTTTATGTGTATTAACTGATTGTATTTATATGAAGGTAGTCCATCCATCCATTTTCTAGTCCGCTTATCCTCACAAGGGTCGCGGGGCGTGCTGCAGCCTAGCCCAGCTGTCTTTCGGCAGTAGGCGGGGTACACGCTGAATTGGTTGCCACCCAATCGCAAGGCCCACATAGACAAACAGCCATTCGCACTCACAATCACACTTAGGGACAATTTAGACTTAAGAGTGTTACATTAACCTCGCATGCATGTTTTTGGAATGTGGGAGGAAAGTCCACTCTGTCATGGAGAGAACATGCAAACTCCACATAAGAGGGCCAGAGCCCGGAATAAAACCCACGACCTCGGCGCTGACTGTGAGGCGGATGTGCTAGCCAATCGCCGGACGTGCAAGCCTGTCGAAGGTAGTGAAGTTGTTAAAATGCACTTACGCACATATGCATGCACGCCACGACGAGCAACAGCCAGAGCGCCTGAACACAAATAAAACTTTCAGACACAAACACACAAATCCCCCCCCCCCCCCCATTTCCTTCTCCCACCGCTCGCGGTCGACTTGGGACCAGTCTGCTGGCTCTTGGTTGATTGCGATCGACGTATTGGGCACCCCTGAGCCAAAAACAGAGGTAATTCGCTGACTAGCTCAGCACTTAGCGCCGTTGTCTGTGCGTGAGCGGTGATTCAGTCCTCTGATTGGTTGCCCACTATGTCAATCAAGGAACGGGATTGATGATAGGCTGACGCAGTACGTTCTGTGTATTAAGCATCGTCGTTTGAATGGCAGCGCCATCGACGAGGCGTTTTGGTTGTCGTGTGAAAGCCCGGGAGCCGCATGGAACCAGCCAAGGAGCCGCATGAGGCTCGCGAGCCGCGGGTTGGCCACCCCTGCAGTAATGGATCATGGCAATGGTCTGCTAATGTATCTTCATTGATGCTCATTACCAAACCTTTGGGCTGCATCAACCCAACCGATTGTAGACAGTATTAAAATCAAAGTCAGTCCGGTGCCAAGTTTTCATGTGGCTCTTTGATGAAAAAAATAAATAAATAAAAATAATCATAAAAAGTTCCTTTTTTGATTTCCAATTCAAAATGGAACAACTGAAGGGAAAAAACGGGGAGGTCGAAGTGTGTCTGCGTGTGCATGTGTGCGTGTCTTTCTAATATGCATCAGTCCGGTAGCTTTGGTGGGTCTCAGCGGTGAGCTGCGTGGTTTCTGTGGCAGAGGACGGCTGCATCACGATGGGCTCGTTGCTTCCATCTGCAGGAGACAATGCATGCACAGAGAGACACAGTGGTGTTTCGATGCAGAGTGAAGGTCCTCTCTTCATCAAAGCATCGTAGGCATTGCTCACCTCTCTCGTCGGCCGTCATCTGGGCCTCCAGATCCTCGGGGGACACATAGAAATCGGGCTCCTGGTCCATGGGTGGCCGAGGTTTGCATTTGCCGCAGCAGCAGTTGCAGCAGCAGCACAGGCAGCAGCAGAAGTAACAACCGGTGGACAAGCAGCAGAAGACAAACAATGCCTGTGGGGGGGAACCAATGAACATCTATCAAATGGATGCCTTTCTAGAGCAGGGGGCGCGCTGCGAAACTTCGGGGCTCGACAATCGTGTGATCACAGAGAACATGCCTTTTTCCCCCTCAGCTGTACTCGGTAAATGTACTTGCACTACAACTACAACAACAAAGTAACACAGTAGATGTCATTGACACTCATCACTGTTGGCGTGTGCACAGGGAGCTCTCGACATCACGTGACTGACCCCCGCGTGCATTTGTTTACGCAGCCATGCTGACAGGATAGGAGCGGCAGGCAAAGGATTAACATTGGAGAGCAGTGATAAAATTAGCATTGGTCAGTCAACATTTGGTCCAGGTGAATTCAAGTCTGTTTTTGATGGAAAGGACATCATGAGATACGTGTATAAGTTGGACAGGTTGGACATTACCTATCCTTATCAAACACCGGGACTGCTTTTTACAACTGTCGCAAAAAAAAAAAAAAAAAAAATCTTTGTTTTTGTTTTGTAGGTTAAAGTGTTTTACATATTGTGTTCCTGAGTTAATGATGCTGATCAATTTGTATTTGTTTATTTTAGGACTGTCGCAAATTCATCTTTTTGGAATTGATTATCTTTTTGATTATTCCATCAATTATTTGGGGAATCCTACCTTAGCGAGCGTCGCGCATGTTCCCGTGTTCCCACGACCTTAGTCACAAAGTGACTCCAGCTCCACTTTGCAGTCATGAAATAAAACTTTCTTGTTGACTATTTAAAGAGGAATAACAATGGGTATCATTTTTACATTTTTAATTTGTTTCCAGAAGCGTCCGCCACAACAAATGTCCATGCAGATATACAGAACATTGGTTTTGGGTTCACCAAAAATAATTCAAAAATGAATTCATTAAGTTTCGAGGTATACTTTTTTGATTTACCACAACAGAATTGGCCGACTATTTTTCCCACACCCTAATTTATTGATTTTTTTTTTTTTAGTTTTCATCACGCCAAAAAATGATTGTAGTTTAAATATGTAATTGACATTGCTTGAATTTCAGGCAAATTGATGCACTTAAATCTTTTGTGACAGACTAAAAACAATGTTAGCTATTCCTGTTTGTATGGTAAGTTGTCAATGGGTCTTCTTTATTTTTTCATGTTCTTTAATGTTAATAAGGATAAAAAGGGTGTCATTTAGTTTTGACTCATGTGGAGTTGATTTCCGGTTGCAGGTATGTGACTGAAGTTTTGGGAAGCGAAATGTATATCTCATGCTTGGTGGCTCTGCCTCCATTCTGCCATCTCCCTTAGGGTGATGAGAGCTCAGATGATGATGGCTTGGCTACATATGCAGGGCGCATATGTAGCCAAGTTTAAATCTACATTCAGAAAATACCCGGAGACACAACACCAACAATGTCAAAACACTGTTCACCAAGACAACTAAACTAATTTTGAATGTTGAAACATTCACAAAAGTTCATGAAATTTTGCAAAAGTATAAATATTTTATTCGGTCATTGTGGGTTTTTTTTAAAAAATGGCTCAACAACACCCCCAACAATTTTTTTTTTTTTTTTTTTTTTTACAAAATCAACCCTGGTTGTATGTGTGACCAGGATCGGCTCAGTAGTAGCCCCTAGAATGTTTTAATGTACCCGTCCTGGTTGTATGTTTATAAAAGATGTACAATAGTTGGAGGTATATGGAACAGCCCAAGACCTACAAAAAAAAGGCTTTTGGAGCCATATGCTTAACCTAACAGGAAGTTCACCATTTGGAATGTTTCTTTCAAAAATTTCTCCCATTTTTGGCTTTTATAGAAGTCACATTTTAAAGACTTCCTCCTAGATTTTATCATTTGGTCTTGAAGGTATGGGTGCTTCACCTAAAAATTTTAAAAATACAAAATAAAAGCAAAGCTTTTCATTTCATCCAACATTGTCGCCATGGCAACACACAGCTAAGAAAAATGACACTGATTTTGATGGTCTTAACATTCGTGATGACAAATTAAACTTGACATATGAATCATGCTTGGCAAAATAATTATTATTTTATTGGTTTGTTGTATTGTTTAAAAAATAAATAAATAGGTGTGCCTTCTCCAAATTTTTCACAAAACAGCCCCAGTTGAACGTTTCATCAAGATCTACCAAAAGTTGCAGACATATGTAACAGCCCAAGACCAACAGCAAGTCTCTGGAGCCCTACTCTAAATTTAACACGAAGTTGGCCATTTTTAATTTCCTGTCAAATTTTACCTCATTTTTGGCAATTCATAGAGGTGACATTTTATCAAAGTAGCTTTTAACCTGATCTTCATTTTCCCAAAATTCCAATGCCAATGTGCCCATTATAGCTGCTCGCAGCTCAACTTTCGTTGTATTGCAACAGTATGCCTAGGACATTATTATAATAGGCAGAAAAAGTCAATCCCAGCAATGATGAAAACAAAACGTTTTACCTTGGCCCACCAGCTGGACAGAACAAAGTAGGTGTTGACGTTCTCCTCTCCGAATTGCTCGGCCACATAGAGGCCCAGGGAGCCATACTTGTCATAGATGTTCTTCTTGGTGCTGTCGCTCAAGATGGAATGAGCGTTGTTTATCTCTTTGAATTTCTCGGCCGCCTCTGGATTGTCAGGATTCTTATCTGGGTGAAACTTTAATGCCAGTTTCCTGCAAACAGAAATGAAATCAATCAAGTAAAAGCCAGCACAATTCTTTGCTTTCTTTGGCAGTAGAATGCTTCACATAGCAGACTTTCTCGCAACTGATACAGAATAAATTCCTCCTCAAACTCAAATCACGGCTATTCTGTGATTGACAGGCGAGCATCCAGGGTTTCAGACAGCAACACTCCAGGTTCTGGACGAAGCTATGGAGCTGTCTATACCAAAGAAACTATTTGACTTAGGGTCTACAATACTCTTTGTCTCCCAGTTATGGTTTAAAGTCGAATAAATATGAAAGTCAACTACAGCTGTGAGCAGCTATAAAGGACCCTCACAGCCCTGGCCATGTGGTATTTGGGGAACTGGCACACTGGAATTTGATTTGTTTGGTTTTTTTGTTTTTTTTTAATGCCACAACAAAACTATGACATCTGGAATTTTTTGCCAGGCCTGACGTGTGTGCAAAGTTTAATAAATCAGCACGGATATTTAGACCCTCATCTGTGGTCTCTTCTCAAGGTTTCTTCGTTTACTCGGAAATGGGATTTTGAGTTTATTCTTCCTCGATTGGGAGCGTTGGGATCTTGGGAGTTTGTCTTGGGAGATGTCACCAGTCTTTATCAACTGGGGGCCTGTGAAGCCCTTTGAGACACAGGGCACACAGACGAACAACCATCCGAGCTCACACTCACACCTATGGAAAATTTAGAGTGTTCAATCAGCCTGCCATGAATGTTTTTGGAATGCGGGAGGAAACCGGAGTACCCGGAGAAAAAACCCATGCAGGCCCGGGGAGAACATGCAAACTCCACACAGGGAGGTCGGAGAAAGGATCGAACCCTGCACCTCTGCACAGTGAGACCGACGAGCTAACCACTGGACCACATATATACATGCACACA